CCAGAGACACAGTATGGTGCAGATTACTTGCCATGCAGAGATGTCATCAGTGAGGGTGCTAAGTTAGTCCCCAAAGCTCCCTTTGCCCTCTTGCTCTAAGCTTCTCAAAACCAACCCTGGGAGCAAGGCAGGAATGCATGAAGCTTCCAATGGGAGAAGAAAACGGCTGATTAGGCAAAAGGTTTCATGGTTTTGGTAACTTCTGAGACAGAGGAAAAGAGCAAAGGGAACGAGAACACAAATGTCCATATATTAAAGCAAACATTGTTGCAGAGAGCCAAATGTTAAGCAAACACTGCATACTACACACACACACGCACACACACACACACACACACATATATATATATATATAAATATAATGAACAGAACGTAGGCATGGCCTTTTTTTGCACTCACTTGTTACGTGGCGTTTGACAATCCACTGCCAAATCGTAAGTAAATTACTGAGATTCGACAACTGTTTCTACTGCAAGAGTAAAGTGGATTCAAATTTTTGGCAAAGCCCGAAGTTCAATCACCTTACAGCAAATCAATCAAATATGTGTGCAGCAAGCAGTGAAATAGTGCAGATGTCACCTCACTGCTCTCCGATGAACAAGATTTTTCTGCTTTTTAAAAATTTACAAGCAGTGTGAGGCAATATTTACAGTGTTCACATTATCCAGAAGATAAAATGAAACCTGTGAGTGTGATTTAGAAGTGCAGCAAACAGTGCTTAGCGCATACGAAGCAGTAAATAATGTACAGGCATTCCCAGTAAGCTGCTGTGATCATTCTTTGTAGGCACAGAGATGCATGACAGTGGTTTAGCCTTCCAAACCCGCCTGGATGCCGCCCTGTGCCCCATGCTCTGCGTGTCCCTGCTGGAGCAGGGGGCTGGACTAGATGATCTAGAGGTCCCTTCCGACCTCAACCACTCTGTGATTCTGTGATATCCTCCTCAGTTCCAGCAGGGAAGTGCAGCCTGCAGAGCAATGGTGCACTGAGCCATCGGCCAGCTCGGCAGCCAAGCCCGGTTTCCACACGCTCCGGACACTCGGCATTCGCCGCGGGTGTCGCTTAGCCGGACACGCGCTGCTCCGTTCCAGTGACGTTGCTCTGAACTAGGCAGTGAAGGCCTATCCTGGGAAGTGCTTAAATGTACAACGGCAACAAGCCAATTACTTGGAAAATCATACATTGTTCCAAGGGGCTCTTTATGTGCTTTTGTTATGAACAGTGTAAAACTGCATTTGTGGTCACGAAATTCTGCAATACGGACCTTCTATGCCACTTTAATACCATTTCCTATCCATTCCAGTCCTCTGGCATGTTAGCATAAAAGATACCAGGGATATTTTAGCCTATTCAGCAACAGCCAAGAAAGAAATGAGGCCCCAACATTTCTCTTGTTTGGAACAGATACCCTTGGTTTCCAGCAAGTGTCTTTATAATTACATGAATTTTTGTTTGCTGTTATCTGCCTTGTTCACAGAGCTGAAGCAGAATTGGACAAAGACTTCCTGTAAACTGGTTGAACCCTACTTTGAAAACTCTGCCTTGTTTTTTATTATTTTTTACAATTTATTGATGCTTTTTGTTATTATAAGGAATAATTTCTGCTTTTACCATTATCTGAGGTTGTTGTTTGGCTGTGGTTACTACAAATGCATTTGTTTTTATGAGGCAAGCAGCCCAAGTCAAACATTTGACTAACGTGAGACAAAGTTCTCAGAGAATGTCAAGTCAACCTGAAAAAAAAATTAAAATTATATTTTACTAAATCAAAGAAAACAATTCACAGCCACTGATAAGGTACGTGTAACAACCAAAGGAAACAAAAATAGCACCTTTCAAATACACCAGAATTTGGTTCTCACTGCAGTTGCACACAATCATATTCTGAAGCATTAAAGGCATTTAAAAAATTTATTTCACATATCCAAAAAACAAATGTTACAAAAAAGTCTTCAAGAAACATAGGCAAGAATGTTTAAATATGATAATTTAATGTAAACTAAAACCCTTTAAAATATGCAATACTGTAATTAGAGGTTATTTAAATCCAGTAAAGCCAGAATAACATCCGTGGATGTCCAACATCATCTAAGCAAACAGTTAATTTCCATAATTTCTTACACAAAGATATCTTTATAGGACTCAGTTATTAGTAAGTAACTCGTCTTAGTCCTTAAAAAAGATGAAATTCAATTTTATAATCCAAAGTGGAAATGGAAGCATCCTGACTCTGCACCAGCGAAGCCAGCACTGCTTCAGACATGTAGAACATTCAAAGAGGTAAAATTGTAAATTTGTAATATTTATTGCATGACAAAGCAATTTGAAACTAATAATAATCAATGAGTGCACTGGGGAAAAAAATGCTGCATTAAAAACACCATAAAAGAAATTTTATTTTCCAATCAGATCAGAAAAGCCAGCTACAAGATTAAAAAGTCCGTTTTCCTACTTTTAACAAAACAAAAAAAATGTAATTTGACAGTTTCCAACATAGAGAAAGCTGCTCATGGAAATATAATTAGATAACAGTTCCACACAGAAGTTTAATTCTGAAAATATATTTACTAAAACCTTAGTTTATCGACCAAAATTGCTTATGTACATGAACGGGGGGTGAAAAAAAGCACAGCCCAATGAGTGAGAATCACAAACCACTTAACTTTTTGGGTTTTTTTTTGAGGACAAGCATCTTTTTTGTGTTTCATGGAAAAATACCCCCGGGATCTAAGAACAGCCTCCGACTAGGAGCCAGAAACACGGGCGCAGCAGAGGGAGCACGTGGGGCCGGAGCCCTTCTCGGGGGCTCCTCTCCAGGCCGCGCAGGCGGCCCAGGCTCAGGGCGCTGCCGAAGGAGCTGACAGGAGCAGGGCCGCTGCCCACCTCCTGCGCCCTCCCAAGGCCGAGCTGACAGGAGCAGGGCCCCTGCCCACCTCCTGCGCCCTCCCAAGGCCGAGCTGACAGGAGCAGGGCCGCTGCCCACCTCCTGCGCCCTCCCAAGGCCGAGCTGACAGGAGCAGGGCCCCTGCCCACCTCCTGCGCCCTCCCAAGCCCGTGAGCGCTGCCGGCGCCGGGGCCCTGCCCTGCGCGAGGGATGGAGGGAGGCTGCAAGGGCAGCTCCGCCTGAAGCTGAAGCTTCCCCATGCTGGGGGAAGCACCCGGCCATGGAAACGCCTGTCCAGGGGCATTAGTAACTACTAGGTGCTCCTCTGAGCTACTGCTCACTGCGCGAGGAGATGTAACCTCCATCACCAGTGATTTCTGGCCTTCACTGGAGCCTCTCCACAAGAAAAGGTCAGGCAGTTGGAAGACGAGGCCCAGCCAATTCTTTCTGCACTTGCCCAAAACAAATTGTACTAATCTGCCCAACATCTCTTTCTACAAATAATAAAAAGAGGGTTTTTTGAAGAGGGTCTAGATGGCGTCCATTAGCTCTCATACACTTTACTGCAGCAACTGCAGATCCCTGGTAGACAACTTAGGCAACCTGCTCTTGACCAAAAATGAGAATCAAGTCACTCACAGGATCCTTATTTCATTTGTATTTTGTATCCATTTTTACAGAGGTTTGGCTTTACACTCAACCAAGTGCAGCCATGTATTCCTTTGCAGCAGTTTTCTCTAAAATTCCTTAGGGAGGACCCAGAAAGTGCACTGCCTGAGAACACCTGCGTGGAGGACCCTTAGGGCAAGAGCCCGTGTGCCAGGAGCCACAAGGGCCGATAACAGAAATGAACGCAAGACACTAAAGGGCAGTGGTGATGCTCTGATCGGGGCCTTTGCACCTGCTTCATTTCCCAGTACTTTAAGAAAGCCCGTTTAACACTGCAGTTCTTTACGGCTAAATATACTTTGGTTAGTGTTAGTTGAGTGGAAGAATAGAGACAGTATTAAAGCAAACGCCATGTGACCTGGGTGAGACAGAAAGAGAACCAAAAATGAATGCTTGCAAGCTCGGCTGCCTCGTGAACCCTCGCTTCAGCTAGGGACAAAGGCACGGCTGCACTACAGCTTGCAGCTGCTCTGCCATCTAAACCAGGTTTCTAAACCAGGGGCTGACATTTTATACAAGCGTCTAGTTCAACTTGCACTGAACCTAGCAGAAATCCACAGCTCCTTGGAGCTCCGAGTCGCTCCAAACTTGGGCTTCGGGAGACGCCAGCGCTGTGTCCCCGCGAGGCCACACGGTGGGTGCTCGCCCTACTGCATGAGGTCAGGAGGCCTCGGGGCTCAGAGCCGCAGAGGCAGCCGCTGTTACCACACTGAGCAGCTCCCCTTACTCTGCCTCACACAGGTGGCATCAGTCCATGGGCACCTGTAACCTGAAAGCTCTTGGGATGAGGGGGGGAAAGGGCAACTTCATGCAGGGAATGGAGTGCTCTTTAAGAATTCATGTCATTAACAGAAGCCTGCCTTATTCTTTGAAACAATGAAAAACTAATATACTTCTATTCCTTAAAACAAAGCTCATTTTTTGCAACAGAAGCGCCTTGTTGAAATGAATAAAGCTGCCCCCCCAAAAGGTTTCTGTACTGTATTTCCATGGCCATCAATACAAGGTGCAAGCATGTGAGAGGAAGGAAATCACCAGGATAAGGGGAAGAGATATTTATTTATTAGTGGGAAGGAGGAGGAGGGGGAAGAGAAAAAAAAAGCAGAACAAAACCAAACCAAAACACACAAACTCCCAATGCTTTCCCTTTTCTACTTTTAGAAAAGGAAAGTGTTACCTTAGGATTCCTGTTATGAGTAACAGATGAAATCCTGGTGCCAGTGAAGACTATTGTAGTTTTGGTATCTACTTGCAAGTGAACAAGATTTTATCAACTATATTTATTATTTACTATTAGTTACAGGTGCATATTAACATATGCATACACCTCATCTCTAGGATTCACGGGTAAGGACAGGAAAACTGAGAGGAAAAGCAGAACACACGGGAGACTGTACTCTTAAACTCTCTAAATTACTATCTTGAGCTATTAGCTTCAGAACAGGTACAGAATTTTGAGTTGCAGTGGCCAAAGCTTTAGCACACTTCCCCTCTGTGTAATTAGGACTCTGAAGTTATTGCTCTTGAACCAGCACACACCGCTGACATCCTCGTTTGTACTCAAAGGCAAAATGCTCTCAGCCTTCAGACCTAGGATATGGTGGAGTGAGCTACAAAGACCCAAGTGAGAAAAAGAAACCAAGCAGGGAAGAGCCTACTGCAAAATTAGTCCTTTGGGGTAAAAACTTGCTTAAGAATTCCCTGCTTCACATGATCCTGACAGTCTGTAACAAGATCTGTAGGGAATGTACAGAACAATCAGAATAAAATAAGTGACATCCCTCAAAGTGGAGGTACTTTTGAGAAGTATGACTGAGCACCACGTTTGTACCTGCACCGTGCTCTCAATACAGATCCCTGAACTTCAAGACCCACTGTAGGAAAGAAGAAAATGATAATAATTGGAAAATAAAAATCAACCAAACCCATAAACGAACCCAACCCCAAAAGTTCATTATACAAGTCCGTTAAATTACAGAAACGTGTAATAAGCCAAGATAAAGTGCTACAAAATGATTAGTAGTTTTAAAAAAAACGTCCCCAGCGCTGTTCTTGCTTTATTTCATGCTGGTGTTAACAGGAGTCAGTTCAATCGCCCCGGCTGAGGCGGAATTCACAATGTCGTCGTATTGCGGGGGGGGATCCAGGTGCTGCTCCGCCTGGCTCCTCGCACTGACTGCGCCAGTGGCTTCCTCATACGAAGGAGGAGGGTCACAGTTCGAGAGCCGGGTGGATATCGAGTCCGACCGCCCATCCGCATAGCTCAGGCCTCCAGGAGAAAGGCCACTGACTTCAAACATTTCCTCCTGTGGGGAATGAACAAGGCTGAGAGGCGGCGGGAGGGCCCCTCTGCTGTCCGCCGCGGCGCCGTCGCCCGGCGCCTCGTGGCCTCCCCGACGCACGTACACCGACTGTCTACGCGTTTTCTTTTTAAACAGGCACCTCCATATGACAAAGATGACAATGAGGATAACAAAAAGGCCAATGATTAATGGAAATGCAAGGTAAAATGAATACCAGCTATGTCCTGTGTTACTTTCTCCCTGAAGTCCGTTTTTGTAGACTTTCCAGAACTCCTTCTAGAAGAGCAAGACAGAGTAAGTCAGAAACTGTAAGACAATTAAAAATACACTTTAATCAAATTGCTTTAAATGAATGAGGTAAAAAAAAGTACTCATTATCAAAATGAGAACTGGTACAGAGAAGCATACAAAATAAATTTCCAAGTTTCTTTCTGATAGAGTTACTGATATTGAGAGGGTTTTTTTATTTTTCTCCCTTTAAGTCAACTTAAGGCAACTTCTCACTGCCTGATATATTTCTGTATCAGCACTTAATACCTGCAAATCTTTAGCAGAAACAGGAATAGGTAAGAAATATAATCAGCACTCAACTCAACTGTGGAACCAAAGTTATATATTTCTTTTTTAATTGAATTATAATAGCATAGCAATACAATTTGCCAAGGGAAGGTTTAGAATGATTGAACATTTTGGTAAAGAATAACTGTGTTGTGATCTTGTACTTCAGACATCCCTTACTCTCCAAAAAAGCAGTAACTATCAGCTTACTTTGAGCTGTTTTCAATTCTCGGTTTATAGTTAAAAATAGCTTCGTTAGCATGAGAACATCACACACACACAGAGCTTAATATATTCCACAGAATTGGTAACTTGGCTATAGATAAATGGAAGAAAGTGAAAATATTAAGAAGGCAGAACAAAAAGATGAAAGGGGACATGAGTACCTGAAAAGACTTTTGGCTATCTTACTAATGGGCACAGACAGGGGCACAAAGAATCGTGTCACCATCCAACCCCCCTGCAGTGAATGTTATGCCAGACTAGTTCAAATAAAAGCCTATCCTAACTCAGACAGTAGCCATCCTGACATGCAATGAAAGACTCCTATCAAACTGGATTTTCACTGTTTTATAGGAATGCATGATTCAAAACAAAAACGAACAAACAAAAAACCCCAAAAGCTATTCCAGAAACACTGAACTTGAACTAAAGTGGAGGTCTGCCTTCTCATATTCATGCCAGCATCTATTTTACATGACATCACATACTTCATATACAAAAACCTATGAGGTACTCACCAAGAAAACTGATACAGCCATTATTTAGTTACTATCAAGTGTTTTGTTCGAGTTGTGGACAGACGAGTTTTATGCACAAGCAAATCAGATCCAACAAATTTTATCAGTTCAGGGCTGCTGCCGCATGATCCAGCCCCACTGAACAGGTACCACTGACATGCTGCTTGCTGAGGCAGCTTCAGCCCAGAAGCAGCTGGGCCCTTCTAGCCCGGAGACTGAGTTCGCCCTCTGCTAAACCTGAGCCAGGACACGAGGTGCAAACCACAAAGAAAATCAAGATTTGCTTAATTGGAATCAATAGTGATTAGACTGCTTGCAACTCCAGCACAAACGACAGCAGAAAGCTGCAACAGATGGAAATAATTTTGAAACTACAGGAAAAAGGGAAACAGACCACACCCTTGAAAGGTTGCAAAGAAAGAGAAGTTAGAAAATTACAGAATGGTCTGGTTTGACTTCAATTCCCAGAACACACCTCAAATACTACGCTGTTTGTCCTCCCCCAAGGCGCTTACAAATACCTCTCTGAGTACTGAAGGGCGCATGTGAAGCCAGAGGAACGCTTATCCAGTTGGGCAAAGGTTGGCCACAGTTTCAGTGCCATCCAACATTTTCATTAATGACGGGAAGAAAATGTTTGCTTGCTATATATGGAGTCGACACCAAGCTGAGTGAGGACATCGGAATTCAGAACAAAGAAATTTGAGTCGTCGGCAAGAAACAGAAATAACTCCATTTCTCTTCAATGAAACTACTTAAGAATGAGTCATTGACACAGGATGGAGAGAGACTGCACGTAACAACTGAACAGCAACCATCGTTGCCGTTTCTCCAACACTATGGAAAATTCTGCCCTGGAATTATAAGCACTAAGACTGTCCATTAGACACGTGAAAGACTCAAAGACTCTGAAAACTGTTCCGAAAAAACCCCCAAACCTAAACTATGCTTAGAAGCAGGTTTCTGTTTGTTTTCACTATCCAACCAACCACGAAGAGAAACAAGATCAAAGTTTTCCTTTGACGTCTACTGGCTCTGTGACCCTGCAGAGCACCTCACCCTCGGCCCTCCACCCAGAGGAAATGCCTCCTCGATAGCTCGCCCCAGCTCGCTGAAAGGCAGGGAGGCTTCTGCAGCCTCCTCAGATGCCGCCAGAACCACCCAAGCTGGTTGTTGCCGGCGTGTGCTGGGAGGAACAGGCAGCGATGAGGGCAGCAGGGTGTTCCTACTGCCCATCTTCTGTGCGTATCTATCCTCCATTCACTGCTATCGAATCCCAGCTCAACTGTGCTGACTTTAAATAGAAAAACTAACATAAAAATATATATTTTCAAGATTTCCAGAGAGGTAGGAAGATCTTCATTGCCTATTTCCTTTCCATAGAGTCTGAAAATTAGATCTTTAGCTGGAATACATAATAAATGTATTCTTAAAAAAAGAGAGGTTTATGAGAATTATTATTGATGTTGTTTCTACTGAAACCAAGCAGCTTTCCACTTCACCGTCCTGCTGCCTCAGCAGCACCACAGAAATAAAAAGCAGTGGTTGTTTCTGAGGCCAAATTTGTCAAGATGTCCTGAAAGACAGCAGAAACACTAAGCAAGGACGTATCATTTTACGGGCTCCACAGAGGAAAAAAAGTACTTTTGATGAAAATGAAGGAACCCAGTTTTCCCCTGGCAATGCATTTTGTGTTGGAGGCAGCACAGGAAATAGTAACCTCACAGCAGAGAATCAGTTGCAGTTGGTGTTTTAGTAACATCGCTCCATGTTACTGTCTGTGTAGCTTTATGTGCCAGAGCAAATGTCTCTGCAGCTTCTTGGGAAAGCTGAAACACCCGCGTCTCTTCTCCTCCCTCAGGCACAGGGCAAAGTGGCAGCCAGGCTGCTTTGCTGAGTGCCAGGCACTCAGCAAAGAATCTGCGTGTGGGCAAGGAAGGTGCTTAAGTCATGGAGTGACTGGGCAGGTGCCCAGTAGGGTAAGGTAGCGGTTTACACTGCCCTAAGAATCAAGATATAGTTAGTGTCTACTTTCATTTACAAGCAAGGTAAAACAAATATCAAAAACTCCCTCAAAAACTCCCCAAAATTATAGTACTTCAGAACTAAGTCTACCTTACAAAGACATCTGCATACAGATGAAAGAAATATTAACAGACTTATTTAGTCCAATTATAAAAACGCTCTTGTTCTAAATTTTCCTCTTCAAAAGCAAAAGAAGCACTAATGTACCAAACATAGTTTCCAGTCTGCATTTTTGCAAGCCAAATAGCAAAGAGAACCACAAAGACTATTAGTTCCAGACAGAATTAGCAGCAATCACAAAAAGCTAATACTTGAAGTTCAAGTTACTAAAGCTCAGCTTCCAAGCAGCCTCCCCTCTACTTGGCCATTACACAACTGTGCCACTGCCAAGGGAAGACACACCAGGAGCCATCTGGGCAAAGTCAAATAATGCTCATAACTAAGTAAAAATCATGGAGAACTCTGCATTTACACGGTGCAATGAGTCTTACAAATGGCTATGACAAAATGGAAGGGAAGAGGGAGGAAAAAAGCCAGAAAACTAGGAAAGCAGTTGTAGAATTAATACAGAAAGTTAAAGAGTAATTTAAAAGTTGGAAATCTTACACCAAATACGCCTTCAGTTGTTGCTGATGTCCTAATCTAATAACAAAGAGGACTTTCTACTGCATAAAATTATTAACTCGTGATTTATGAGGATACTCCAGTAATCATTTACCACAAAGCACTGCCTAGCTGGGAATACAAGGCATATATGCCCTTAAAAGGCTGCAAAACTAAGTTAAGGAGGCCATGGAATCAGATAACTGCAGTGGAAAAGACACAGAAAATACCTAATGCATATTCTCGCCAAGAAACACTTTTCTGCTTGTTCCTTATTGCTTATGCTACAGCAGTTTGAAAGAGCAGCAGAACCAAACCCCAAAGCAAAGGAAGGGCATTACACCGAGAAGGGCAGTTATGGTCAATTTACCCATTAGAACTTTTCCAGCCCATTTCTAGCACTTCTCCGGCACTGCCCATTCAGGAGACAGCCTGCACTTAGCCAACTAGATCCGCACGCCGTACGGGACGCACACGGCAGCTAAGCTGAGGGGAGTGACACCACGCTGAGACTGCGAGCAGAGGTTTTACTATGGTCTGGCAGCCTCAAACAGCTCCTGGCCAATGTTCTCACTTGTTTTAAGGGCAGACTAACACTAAGCCAGTTGAAGGAGCGCTTGGTAGAGGCAGTAGGTAGAGGCTACACACAAAGCAGTAACAGCAAGGGAGTGTATGTGCCAGGCTGCTCTCATCTAGCCTGTGCTCAATTTCAGGTGGCAGGAAGAAATGTCTCTTCTCTGCCAGATGAACATTTGGTACTCGCAGCCAGACACATGCTGATGCTAAAAGCCCTATTTAATCACTTCTAGAACTTCTAGAGAAGCTCCAAGGTAGACCAACAAAGATGATTAAGGGACTTGAATATCTATTGTATGAGGAAAGACTGAGCGACCTGGGCCTGTTCAGCCTGGAGAAGTTTGAGAGGGGATCTGATCAATATACACAAATACCTGAGGGCAGAATGTAAAGAAGACTGGGGCGAACTCTTCTCAGTGGTGGCCAGTGACAGGACAAGGGGCAATGCGTGTAAGTTGCAACACAGGCAGTTTCACCTGAATTTAGGAAGAACTTCTTTCTTTACAGTGAGGGTGACAGAGCCCTGGCACAGGCTGCCCAGGGAGGCTGTGGAGTCTCCTTCTCTGGCGATCTTCCCAACCCACCTGGATGCCGCCCTGTGTCCCGTGCTCTGGGTGTCCCTGCTGGAGCAAGCAGTTGGACTGGATGATCTCTAGAGGTCCCTTCCAACCTCAACCATTCTGTGATTCAGTGAACAACCTTTGACAACTGGCCAGTGATCACACGCAACGCTTTCTGCAGACTACTGCTATTACATATGAACAGCTTCACAGG